CTGCGTCACCGCGCTGCCCACGTGACGCGCCGCCATCTTGTACGCGGTCCTGACTTGTGGCTAGGGGTGTCTCGGAACGCGTTCCTGAGGCTGCCGGGAGAGAGGAAGGCTGCCCGCGGTTCCGTTTCTCCTTAGGAGCGGTACCCTGCCCCGCCCCGCCCCGCCCCGCCCCACGTCCGCTTCCGGAGGCCATGAGCAGCTGGGTGCTCGCGGGAGGCCGTTTCATCGATGAGTGGCGGTGCTGTCAACTCAACTCCGACCAGTTGACGTTGACCGACGCCGGCCTGTTTTCCTTCCTCAGCTTTTTTTAAATATTTTTTTTATGAGATGGAGTCTTTTTTTTTCCCCCCGAGATTGAGACGGGGGTCTCGCTCTGTGGCCCAGGCTGTAGTGCAGTGGCGCGATCTCGACCCACTGCAGCCTCCAACCCTGGGGTTCAAGCGATTCTCCAACCTCAGCCTCTGGGGCAGCTGGGACCACAGGCGCGCGCCACCACGCTCGGCTTGAAGAGAAGAGGACTCACTATGTTGCTCAGGCTGGTCTTAAACTTCTGGGCTCAAGTGATCCTCCGCTTCGGCCTCCCAAAATCCTGAGATTACAGGCGTGAGCCACCGCGCCTGGCCTTACTCAGGTTTTTCTTAATCCGGTAAAGTAACATTGAGTTGTGTCCTTTAACCCATGTGGAAGGATTTTCTACAGAAACGGATTTACAATGAGACGTAACAAGGTGGCTGGGCGCGGTGGCTCACGCCTGTAATCCCAGCACTTTGGGAGGCCCAGGCGGGCGGATCACCTGAGATCGGGGGTTCGAGACCAGCCTGACCAACACGGAGAAACCCCGTCTCTACTAAAAAAAAATACAAAAGTAGCCGCGTGTGGTGGCGCATGCCTGTAATCCCAGCTACTCGGGAGGCTGAGGCAGGAGAATCGCTTGAACCCGGAAGGCAGAGGTTGCGGTGAGCCGAGATCGCATCATGGCACTCCAGCCTGGGCAGCATGAGCAAAACTCCGTCTCAAAAAAAAAAAAAAAAACAAAAGAAAAGAAAAAAGAAACGTAACAGAGTGTTAATAAACTGTTATGCTGTTGTTTTAATGCATTACAAAAACTTTTCAGAATATTTTTGTGTCTACCTCTCTGGAAAAGGAATTATGCCTTATTCTTAATTTTTAAAATTTCCTTGCAAAATGCTGTTTTATGGTTTTAATTATAGTAAACGACAAAAGATAAATTTTTTTAGTATGCTCTTGACAGAAAGTTCCAAAAGTTTTCTGAAATTTTTCTAGTTTGAGATCCCTAATTTAGGAAACCGATTTAGTGGAGAGAGCTTTTCCTATTTTGGGCCCTTTGGATCGAAGAATGTGATGTAAAGCCGAAGATTTACTCTGCTAGACCCTTTTAAGAGGTCACTAACGTTTAGCTATTGACATTCAGCAAACATTATTGATTACCTATTAAATGCTAGACCGGGGAACAACTGTTAAGTCAGTGTTTCAGCATTACTGAGAGAAAAGTGGCCTATAAAGGTAAGGGAGGGGAAGAGTTTCTCAGATATCAGCCTTCGATGATTAACAAAGTCCAACCTCAGTCATTCTGGAATCCAGAATATTGATTGCTGGAAGGCTGGTTGTGCGAGTTTACTGTTCTTTGGTGTTTGGGTTTTTCTTCCGTGGACCACAGAATGCTTAACAAAAGTTGATCAGTAAAAAGCAGGGGAGGGGCCGAGCGCGGTGGCTCACGCCTGTAATCCCAACACTTTGGGAGGCTGAGGCGGGTGGATCACCTGAGGTCAGGAGTTCGAGACCAGCCTGACAAAATGGCGAAACTCCGTCTCTACTGAAAATACAAAAATTAGCCGGACGTGGTGGCATGAGCCTATAGTCCCAGCTACTCGGGAGGCAGAGACAGGAGAATCGCTTGAAGCCAGGAGACGGAGTTCGTGGTGAGCCGAGATCGTACCACTGCACTCCAGGCTGGGCAACAGAGTGAGACTACGTCTCAAAAAAACCCAAAAAACCACAACTCAGTTGACAGAGGAAAAGAAGAAAAAGTTATGCTTGTTCAACACTGCCCCTCAAAAATACTTCTGCCGTTTCTCTTTCTCATTGAAGTGTCATAGCTGTGCCTACCAGTCTTCTGAATTGTGATAACTAGATGGAAAAAAAAAAAAAGAGGTCTTGATTCTGATGCATGCAGTTTATTTGAATAGTAACTTTCATAAACCAGATGGACAGATCTTTAATTTTAGAAGCAAGGAAAGAGAAACAAAGAAACTTAGGGCCATGGCTGGGCATGGTGGCTCAAGTCCGTAATCCCAGCACTTTGGGAGGCCAGGGCGGGCAGATCACTGGAGGTCAGGAGTTCAAGACCAGTATGGCAAAAGCCTGTCTCTACCAAAAATACAAAAAATTAGCTGAGCATAGTGGAGCACACCTGTAATCGCAGCTACTTGGGAGGCTGAGGCAGGAGAATCACTTGAACCCAGGGGTCGAAGGTTGCAATGAGTCGAGATTGTGCCACTGCACTCTAGACTGGGTGACAGGGCAAGACTCCACCTCAAAAAAAAAGAAAAAGAAAGAAAAACTTAGAACCAAAGATAATTTTTTTTTTTTTTTTT